GACAGACCGGCAGGCAGTGTGGAGGTGTACTCACAGCGCAGCGTTGCCGGGGGGCACAGATGCTGCGGTCGTGCAGGGGCGCTCTGCTCTGTCAGCTGGGTTCCTCGGTCCGGCACTCCTGTCGCTCTGTAACTGAGCCCGGTACCAGCTGCTGCCTTTAATACCCCAGCGCTCAGCCAGAGGACAATAGCGCCCCCGTGGGGGGGGCCCACTAGGTGTCACTGACACCTGCTGCATCATCGCCAGGGTACTCCTCTCCTCCATCCTCCTGTCAGTCCCCCAGCTCAGTGCCAGCGTGCGGGGGGCAGGTGATGAGGACCTGCCATTGTCTGGCGAATTAATCCCCCACCCTGCCCATTGTAATGCTAACAAGAGGCTGAGTCGGAAGACACAATCAGCTTTATCAGGAGGGTTTTAAGGTGATTTATGCATTCTCCTTTTAATTTTGAAACACCGTCAGAGATTGCTTTCTAGTTTAATCTTCTAGACTGAAGTACTTTTAAATCAATCCCCTCTGTTTTCCCCTTTTATCTGCTGAATGGTTTTGTGCAGATGTGCTGCGCTGCTCAGGCAAATCCTTTCAGATCCAGGAGCGTTCGATCTCTTGGTACCTGAGCACCCCTGAGCCACACGGCGAGGCTGAACATGGTGTTGAATTGGGGATGAGGCTGGACTGAGAGAGTGCACCAGCTTTCCCCTGCACGCTGCCTGGTTTCAATAGACACTCTCTTCCCTGGAAGAAAAATCAGAAAACTAAAAACAGATTTTAAAAGGTCGATGGGATTGTAAATGACAGTGTGTGTTTTTGTAAATGCGTAAGATAGATACGCCAAATAGGTCTCAAATAGGTCTTCTCCAGTGGTGGGATCTCATATAGGTATTGTTGCAGTGGAAACACAGAGCCAGGCAGCAGTGTGTCAGTGGCTCCAGGTTTACCACCTTCACCACAGAGGGAATGCCATTGTGCAGCGGCTCAGTGGAGAAGCTCATTGTCTGAAGCAAAGGCACAAGAGCTCTCAACCTTTTCTTTAGCTAAAAATAACAGGACTCACAACAGCTCCCCGTGCAGTTAAGATGCCATGGCCTGGGAGCTTTACAATAACTAAACAACTGGATAGCAACTTCCAGCACAAAACCCAACCTTCCTCTTCAGAGGTCCTAATTAAGATGTCCGCTCTGCAGGTTTCAATAGGTTTCCCAGGTGGTTCTGAAGACACTCTACACCATCTCTCCCAGGAATGGTGCTGGCCTGCCTGCACCAAGACCTCTTGATTACCACTTCTTGTCTTAATGGCCTCCTGTTGGCCGGTATCCCTCTGCGAGGCATGTAGCACAGCTGATGAGAGAGTGCTGATGGCTGCATCGCTCTCACCAGGGACAATTCGGAGGTCGGCTGCTCTGCTCCACTGCTCCAGAGAGAGTCCTCTCCTGAGTCCAGTGGGCTGAGGGGCCCCTTTGTTCTGCAATTACAAAAGGGATTCTTTTCAGCTCCTACTGCCACAGGCTAGCAACCAGTCAGGCAGCCCTTCCACCTGCAAGAACAGAGCGCCACCCCCAGGCTCGTCACAGCTCTGGGAGAGGAGGTGGAACAAACAATCATTCCCCTCAATTCAGCATCGCCTGGAGGGGCCTGATTCGTATCCCTGTCTTTATTTCCAGACCTCTCTAGTCCCGCCACAGCACCTCCCCGTTTCCATAACCCCAGACTCCAGGACCCCCCACCTCCCCACAAAACCCAGCCCAGCAGGATCTTCCGTACCCTGGATCTTACATTTGCTTGCAGACACCGTCATCAAAAATGCCTTTTCCCCTTGAAGCTAACACGAACTCACCTAGCAATTGATCTATATTCAGTTCTTATTGTCTGAAACACAAACACGAACCAAAGGACACAAGTGAAAACTATGCAGAAGTGCAATGAAACCTGAGGAGAGGAGGCACTCTTTTACACAAAGGATTGGGGAGTATGGAACAAGCTGCCCAGCCACGTGGGAGCTGATACCCAGGCTTCTGTGGAAACAACTGGTTGAAATCCTTCTATCAGTTAGTTTCTAACTAACAAATGGGTTCGGTTGGCTAAATTGCCCCTTTTCAATTCAAACTAGTTTTGTGTAACAATTCCTGTACAGGGCTATAGTTCCAGTACAGTAGAAAGCATTATTAAAATATCCAAAATTCTGCTAAAATTAAAATCTGCTTCTACCAAATCTGTATACTTTTATGAGTCACCGAATAATGACGTAAATTCAGCTTGAACAGTTTTGAGTAATGCTCTGAGCTTGTTTTATATATCACTCTGTCAGAAAATGACCTTTGTGGATTTCTGGATGGACTATTTGAAGTTCAGTAATAATATTTTACTTGACTGTGGCACAAATACAGATGAAAACAAACATTTAAGTTGATAAAGGAAAATATTCAATGGGGAACTTAAACTCTTAAACTCCCAAACACCAAAACACAGGCACAAATAATCTGAAATTCAGTACTTTTTTTCTGAAATTCAGTACTATACTCCCGTCAAGCAGGTCGCAGCCGATTATACGTCATGATTCATCGCATATCGTCTCGGCGTGATGGCGCAAACCGATGGCGCAGTATAAATTAGAATTTCCGGCCAGGCGCCATTTCGTGTTTCCCGTCAGGAGAAGCAGCGCGTCAGGGAGAGGGAGAGACGGAGGAGCACGGCAAGAACAACAATTCATAAAATAAATCGGTGAGTGATGGAGGCGCTGCCTTCACAGATTATATAATAATTATTGCTTTGAACAAAAACAAACAAAAAAGTCCATTTTAGTGTGCTCTAGTATTTGTTTTGCAACAATACGAAACGGCAATGGTTGTGCTTGTAGGGACTGTGGCCGCCATCTTTGTTCTCCGGTGCATGCGGCTTCGTTGTAACAAAGCTTATCGTTTTCGGTCCACGGTTGTACAGAAAATGACGAAGAGCGTCTTCTTAACCGCCAAAATACTTACAAAACGCTCACTGTGATTACTTGTTACCGAAACGCGGGTTTTAGGAAAGTAGGTTAATCGTAGCGGTGTGCATTTGCACGCAGCATTCGCCATTTTAACAATGAACAAAGGCGCCTGTACGAGGTAAAGGGGTGTGTTACTTTTTATAGGGATATTATTTTTAAGGTAAGTTTTTTTTTTTCTCAATTTACTGATTTGAATTTAATCTTAGCCGTGTGTAGGCCTCTTTGCGAATAATGTAGCTCAGTTTGATTTAAACTACTCACGGCTAGGGCATTCGATTACATTCTTTATTTTCAGGTGTTGATGCATTTTTGTAACTCGGAATAAAATATCCGAGAGCATGGTTTTTTTTTCTTGGTGGGGGGTGGACATCACGAAGTATCGATTTTGAATACTGAATCTGTGCAAGGTAGTTTACTCAAACAGCAAATTACGTGCTGAACCATCTGCAATGGGATTATTAATGGTAATTTTGAGGTGACCGAAAGAATCTGATGGATTGGGACTCTTGAGACCTGGACGGGGATTCCTGTATTGGGGTGACTGATTCAAAGCGCGGGGAGACGTTTTCCTCCCCGGGCAGGTAACCCGAGCCCTCTGTGGCTGACGTCACTCCGCCAAAGTGGAGTGGGAGGGTGTCCTCCATGCTCGGTGATTTTAGCTCCGATGGGTGTTACTCCTAGTTCAGAGGTAGCCATGTGCTGCACTCATTTTTATAGCCAACTGAAAATACTCACTGCTTAAATATATACCGTGATTTCAGTAGTCAAGAATCTCGGGTGCAGTGAAGGTAGAAGAAACTCACCCTCCAGGATCGGGGGTGAATATCTGGCTTAATACGTGTTGTCTGCCCACCTCCCCTGCACAGAGAAAAAGCCGTGGGCTCGGCTTTCGTGGAGAGTTTTGCATTTTCATATTAGGCTATTTCAAGTCTTATTAGGTGTTTTATCACTTGCTCTGTTGTAAGCATAATGTAATGTGGATCTTCAATGATTTGATGTTTGGCAAATGTGTAATGACTTGAAAATTAAAACTAGACAATTCTTCTTTCAGTGTTTAGAAAATTGGGGCCTGTTGAAATGGGAGGTAAATACAAGGCTTTATTTATACATTGCATGCTACAGCTAAGACTATAGTACCATGTGCCCCTGTCCCCTCCCATCCCACAGCAGATTAAACGTTTTGCTTTAAAAAAAATGAAAACCCTGCATCCACATTACTGGCCTGAAAGTGCTTGAAGTAGCTTTTTTCGGTCTGTTCACCTTTGGGGGGGGGGGATGAAAAGCAGCTGCTTCAGGGGTTCTCTGGCTGGGGAACCTGGTGGTGTTCTTAGGTGTTAAGTGGGACAGTTGCATGTTAAGTGTTCCAATGCTTCTTTTAATACTTCTTTCAATTTCTCTCTCCTGCCCCCCCCCTCCCCTCCCCACCCCACCCCCAACAAATTGATCATTTCAAATTAAAGACATTAAATCCCGTTTCATTTGTCAGATTAGTGCTATTCTGTGCTTTGCAATATTTTTACACCGCCGAGTATCTTTTTGGGGGGTTTTCAGCGGTGCCCTTTGTTCTCTTTTCCAGATCCCACCATGCACAGAGACTGTCCTCTTGACTGCAAGGTGTATGTTGGTAACCTTGGCAACAATGGGAACAAGACAGAGCTAGAGCGAGCTTTTGGCTACTATGGGCCACTGCGTAGCGTGTGGGTGGCCCGGAATCCCCCCGGCTTTGCCTTTGTGGAGTTCGAGGACCCGCGAGATGCTGCGGACGCTGTGCGAGAGCTCGACGGAAGGTATCGGACTCGGCTCATTCTCCAGAGGGGTTGTCTGACGTGGCTGACCTTAACACCTCTTCCCTTCCCATGGACAAGATTTTCAGTCATGCGTGTATGGCATGCCTAACTAATTTTTATGGTCACCTGAGGAGTTCTCAGTGCTTTGTAGCTGTGTGATTATTTCCTGAGTGTATGTAGGCATCAGTAAGCTGTGGGGTGCCATTTGATCAGGTGGCCGAGTTAGAGTACAGCACTTTTTCTGGGGTTCCAAGGTATTTGTTTCAATGTTACCCAGCAGTGTGGTTGTGTGGGTGCACTTTATGTAAAGCATTTTGTTGCCATTAAGGTGGGAGGTTGATGAGGCTGCTGGGTTTTGGGTGTCTTTGCCCTGTTAGACCACAAGTGTTGGCAGGGGGCTAGGAGTTCCTGTTGTCCATGGTAGCCATGTGTTGTGGCTTAATTCAGTGTCTTGGCATTTCGTCCACAGGACGCTTTGTGGTTGCCGGGTGCGAGTTGAGTTGTCCAATGGGGAGAAGCGAACACGAAACCGAGGACCGCCGCCTTCCTGGAGCCGGCGCCCAAGGGATGACTATCGCCGACGCAGTCCGCCACCTAGACGCAGGTATTAACCCTATCCGTCAGCGAGCTAGTCTAGTTACGTGTTGACTAGAGGGAAACAATTTAGGTCCTTAAATTGTTAATCCTTTGCAGTTTTGGAAAGTAATTCTTACTAAACGGACTTTGATGCAAAGTTACTTAACCTTTTTCTCTCCCAAGATTATAGTTCCTTCAGTGCTATGTCCTGTAGCATCTTGTTGCATAGTCTTAAATTGACAATTTGGTCAGTGTCCTTATAGGCTTGAGTGTTTCAGATGGGGAGAATGCTTTAGAAGTAGGATAAACATGTCTTGTCTCCTTTATTTTGCTGATAGGAGGGGCATGCAAGTGCTGTTTTTAATATGCAATTTCATCCTCATTGTCATTGTTAGTCACTTAACAGTGAGACTAGATCATTAATTAGGAAGGTCAGTTTTGAGACTTAAGGTGGGGATCTGGGGAGGGGTTAATGGTGGTCAATTTAAAACCAGTTTAGAATTCAGTGTAGTAAAATAGGACTGGGCATTTCTCATTAAAGGAAATTAATACTGTTAAACATTTTATATTGTAGACTTGACCCAAATGTTTTTTTGTGAATGGTAAAATCTCTACAGGATTTCTCACTTTTTACTTGGTTTAGCTTTCTTTTATATTAAACCCCAAATTTTGACCTTGTTTTCCTAAGTTCAAGCACTTAGGAATGTTTGTGAAACCTGCTGCATATCTACTTGCTGATATAAAGAACTTGTTAAATGTAGGTGTGATCAGAAACCATGTCCATGTTGGCCTTTTGCACTCCTCTTCAAACCCTGATTCAGTTCCGATTGGGAAGATTGTCAAGAAAGCCCAGTTCTATTCTTGTTGGCCTTTGCCGTAACTTTTAAAGGGGGAAGTTTGAGAATGCTAGATTGGTTGTAATGATAGCTTTTGTTTTTCATTTTTGAAGGTTGCTTTTTTATTTACCATCTATATTAATAAAAATGAACCCCGTTGCAGAGTCACCATCATGCCTCTTCTCACCACCCTCTGAGTCAGTCAACTAGCCCTCTTTCAGCGTCATGTGACCACTGACCAGCGTGCCCCAATCAGCTTGGCTGGTGTCGTATCACATGACCCAGGCATGGCCAGTCGTCAGGTTGCACCGCCCATTGGTTCCTGAGCATGCTGTGTTCTCTCAGCCTCCTCTCCAACCTTAACCCAATCGGCAGCGGCCTACCTCACATTCCCGACCAATCAGCTGTTTACTTTTCCAAATGTCTACACAACAACCTACAGCAGCAGCCCTCGGCTAACCAATAAAAGCAGGAAAAATCCACAGCCAGCCCCCATCCGCCAACCAACTAAACACCTCGCAACATCTGGCAAATCCTTTTCTGCAAATTCTACCTTCCTGGCCGCCAGTGTGGCATCCCTCGCCATTTCTAGCTTGTTGAAAACCAAAAGACTAGTAAGTTTTTCCTGCTTAATACAGTTTACTGCTGGTTACAGTTTAAAAGAGTAAGCTGCTTCATGACAAGATTGACTTGTTAAACTTGTTTTTAATCGAAGGTTGGCATTAGTTCAGTTTTAGGTAGTTTTAAAGGTGGATAATTGTCCATTTTCATCCAGGGCTGAGCAGCTTAATTTGACTTCTAGGAGGCACATGTTGATGTCTTGAATTTATCCGTGTGCTGAGATTTTGCTCTGTTTTTAATAATGGACTTTTGTCACCCTTTAAAGTGTAAAGATGGTAAATGTAAAATTAACCGAGGTAAGAAATTAATCAGATCACTTTTTTTCCTTGTATTACCTTGTGGACAAGAATTGCTTTAAAGTACAGTTTGAGCTGGGTATGTGCACAAGATGTTTCTTTCTGTTAGTTAAGGCTGTAGTTTCCTGCTGTCCTCCATTCTTCTTTTTGTTCCACTAAAGCTTAGTTTTTGCAGGATTTTGATTAGTGGATTTTCATTGGATTTTTTTTCAGTAAAGCATAGAAGCACCTTTTAGACTTTCCTGGTTGAAAGCTGTGTAGTTTGTGGGAGTAAAAGGTGCTCTTGTTAGTACTGAAGTATTTCTCTTACTGTATGCGAAGGACTGCCAAATTTCATAGGACAGAAGCTGGAGTGCCACAATGAATTGCACTTGCACGTAGGTCAGACTCTCCACATTTGGGCATTGAAGATTCAGAAGTAGGTTTGAAGTTTCCCTTTTCTTAAGGGAGAAATGCAGGGCCCTGTGGTGGCCAGTGTGCCTTCTTGTTTGCTATAAACCCGCCTGTCCTTGCTTCACTTCAGTGCCAGAGAGGCCCTGTAGTAGCTGTGGCTGAGCCCTGGCCTTGTCCGCCAGGCAGAGCGTTAGGTGGTAGGGTGTAGAGGGAGCTGGGGTCGGTCTGCAGTGTGAAAGGCTTGGTGCAGTGGACTACAGCTGCAGGGAGCCTCTGTGTGATGCTGTTCTTCTAACTTCTAGATCTCCACGCAGGAGGAGTTTCAGTCGGAGCCGTAGCAGGTGAGAAACAAATCTTCCTGACCTCTCCCGCCGAACCACCTGATCAATTTCCAGTAGGATGTGTCTATTTAGAAAGATAACATTGGCAATCAGATGTGCCCCTGTGTCTTGCATTGTTTGAAACGAGTGGTAGCTTGAGCCCTGAAAGGTTGTCTTCTACTAGCTTGGTTTTCCTGCATTGATTGAAGTACTGTTGTCTGCTATTCCAGAGTGCATAACTTTCCTAGACTGTGCAGCACACCTGTTACTTTTTCCCCCCCACAGATCTCTCTCTAGAGACAGGAGGAGGGAAAGATCTCTGTCTCGGGACAGGAACCACAAACCCTCACGCTCCTTCTCCAGATCGCGCAGGTAGGTGTTGATTATCCTCCTGCTGGGCTAGGGGAGTGCCAGCCTGTGCTGCTGCTCACTTGGCAACTTTTCTTTCATAGAAAAAAGTCCTCAAATAGAAACTAGGTCAGAACCTAGAGTACAAGTGAAATTGAATCTGTCACACTGATTTTAGCTTGGTCCATTACTTGTATTCAAGGCATAAGGAATTCGGGATTTTTTAAGTCTTCAGTATGGAGTCATTTTGGCTAGTTGTAGGTACTGTACATCATTTACAAGAACCAGGACTGCCTTCCAGTATCTTGGACCAGGGGTGTTTAGCAAGGGCAACTTTCCCGAATAGCTCTGGTAAAGTCCTGAGGGGGGATTAACCCACAAACTTTTAAGCACTGTTATGAGCTGCCATACATATGGCCAAGCTCTTTTGGGAAAGATGTTATGCTTACCTTCATTTTTACAATATTAGTATAAAACGTGTACTTTGTCACTCCTATCAAAACTTGCTTTCCAAAATCTGCAAGACTAGTAACACTACTAACTAAAATTAACTAATTTCATGGTCAGGGGTGAAGATGTAATAAGTTGCTACTGGTCTTTCAGTAAACGCCAAAGGTTTTTCTTGAAAAGTTCTTAAGATTAGCATTGACATCAATCATGGATGTAAAGATTATAATGCATTTAGTTTTTTGAAGGCTCATGTTTCATCTTTCTTGGATCAACTGGAAATGATTCGTTTTTCTCTTCTCTCCAGCCGTTCTAGGTCTACCGAAAGGAAGTAACGGAAGGGCAGTGGAATTTTTAAACACCGTGGTCATCCCTTATTTACCATAAACTAGATGTGCTTTTTTTAAAGATTTGTTTTAGCTGTTTAGTTTGCTTTTTTTGGTGACATGCAAGGTAAATTCTACTATAGTGTCTGTAAGTGGGAGCTGTTTTGAGATCTGTGCTGTACAGAGGAAATACCAGTGATAGCAATTTTGTGAGATGTTCAGTCTCCTAGTACCATTCCATTCACCTTGCATAGAAATTAAAATGTTTTCCTAAAGTGGTTGTGTGCGCATCAATTTAAAAAATTGGGTGGGTGGGATTTGGAAGGTGTGGAGCAGGCAGTAAGGCAGGCATGACCTCTGGGTGGGGGGGGTTGATGGGGCAGGAGAGTATGTTTCTAAGAACAGCATCGTAGTACTGTTCTTGGTTTATTGGGACAAGGTTAATCGGGTTTAGATTTCTCATCTCTTGTGGAGAAAATTAGCAATTTTGAAGGGATGCGAGGAGCTTTCCTTCTTAAATAGTGGAAGTGTAGAGGGGGAGGTTGTAGCCAACAACCCGAAAGTTTCCTGCAGTCTTTCCTGTCCTCCGTTTTCCGAAGTATGCGTTGGCTTAGCCGTCGTTAAGGAGCCACTGGAGGAAGAACGGTTCTGGTTTTGCTCTTTTGGTCTGTCCTCCTGTGTCACTTCACTGTTCACCTATAAGGTGATGTTGCTGTTCAGTGTGCAAAGGAGGAGTAGAATCCTTTTGTGGATTAATGAAGAAATAAACTTTGTTACGGTCTGATCCTTTGTTTTTGTTTCTGCTATTTGTACTGTTTGTAATTACCTTTGAATTAAAAATTTGGCTACAGAATTGTTGTCCGGGTTCTGGAGTACATGGTTACAGTTTTTTGCGATCTTGTAACCTTAAGGTTAAATGTCAGAGTAAGATTTTTAAATGTTCCAGCTTTTAATGGATTTGGTGTGGCAGTGCCTTATATGGAAACTAATTTTTATCTTCAGTACTGGAAAGTTTACAGTAGTGCTGCAAATGTAACTTCTGCAGTAATACACCATTTAGGCTCTTTTAAAAAGACCTTAAGATGAATGTTATCAGTAGTCCTTAATATTTCAGGTGGGTAGCTGCATCTGCATGCATAGGCCGTGTGACACCTGAAGAAGACTCCACGGCTGAAACTTTCTTCTCTCTTCAGCATGGAATAAACCATTACTTGTTCCTTTGTGTCCTCTTAATATTGTTTAGAATCTCTCCACAAGAGGGCACTATTCCATAATAGGTGCCTGAAATTTCTAGTCCATCTTGCTGGTAAATTTGCTTAAGACTTTAAAATGGTGGCATGTTCAGTTTCATGTGAAACTTGCTTTATGGTGAAGTTCCCATCCTTGGAATGGGGATATATCTAATGTGCTCTATTGGAGTGTGGAGACCACAGCAATACTTTTACTTCCATTTGTAAAAGTGGAGTGATTGAACCATTTTCAAAAGATGTTCAGTTTTTACATATCCTTATTTATTGATTGGAGTTTCCCAAGAAAAATCCATTTTAAGTCCCATTCTTCAGTGGTGTGTAGGGATGTTGGTAATATCTTAATGTGGGAGTGGAGTATGCTCTGCATTTATTAACTTGCATTGTCAGTTCAGTGCTACATTCCTTGGGTGAATGCTAATGGAATTTAGAGCTGAAACTTGTGCATATTTTTAATGCACACATGTGTAAGGCTTTGGTCTTCACCTAACCTATTAATCCTTAAGGCAGACTGTTGCAATTAGGTGTAAGTGCAAGCTACAGGTCAGGGTTTATTCTTCATACCAGCAATAGTTGTGAAATGGCTGTTATTGATGTCACCCACTATAGGAATTTGTGAACTCAAATCAGAGCTGCTGTAGTTCTGATATGTTACAGAAGAGCTGTATAGCTGAGACTGTAATTGTAAATCCCATGGAGACCCCTTCATCCTGTCAGACCCCTCAGGCTCCGTGCCCTTATTTCTTCAGTACAGCACCTGAGTGCCCTGGAGAGTGGGAGCTGGAGTGAGTCCCAACCTTATCTGTACAGCACATCAAAATCCTTTGCAATGCGAAGCACTATTCCTAGCACCCAGTCTTTCAAGTTTTGAATGAAGTACATTAATTCCTGACAAACACATGCTTTAGTAAGAGGGTTGTCTACTGTAGTGTTCATTCTGTAGATGCCACAGAGCACACTTGCCTCCTGAGGAGATGTTCACCACACTGGGTTTCCTCATCATGGCGTATTTGTGTGGGTCAAAGCTTTTTTTTCAGGGGTGGGGAGCTGGTGCCTTGTGGGCCCTAGCAGTTCATGTCTGTCAACCCAAGGAGTGGCAGGCTGTTCCTGTCTGTTATCCAATCGTCCTGATTACTCAAATCAGAATTATTCCAAACCTGGCCTCTTCAGCCACTAAGCAAACTTCTGTTAAGGCTCTGTGACTCTTTCTAGGAAAACAAAGTTGTGGTCGAGGCAGTAAACCTATGAAATTGGGGATATTCATATTTTTCAGAGATGTTTAATCTCCAATGGTCAGGTTACACAGATATGTGCTGAATTAACTATTGAGTCAGTGAACTAACCTAATACTGTCCTGACATTCCGCATAATTCTTCCAGGACATCAGCCAGAGGTTTATGATGTGCTGGCAAAACATGCAAACTCTGCACATAAGGTTCCCCCTTTTGGACTCGAGAACTGTAAGCAGTGCTTACTTCCACATTCCCATACCTTCTCTGCATTATTTGAAGCTGGTTTTTTTATTTGTAGGATGACGTGCTCTTATTTGTTACAGGTAATAATGCATAATTCCCTGGCGGGTAATTCAGCATCAGACCAGGATGCTCTAGTAATAACGCAGGCCAGCAGCCTGGGGCTGAGAGAACAGGGTCAAGATGATTTCATTCCTGCCATTCACTCTGCCTTTGGGGCCGTGGTTGAGGAGAGGAGGCAGTCGGCGCCTAGTAAGACAGACGGATGAATCATTTTCTCCCCAGACAAGACAGTAGTTACAGAGTTCTTGCTAACTGTGCAGGTGCTCTGGGCTTCACGGTTATTGCTGATGCCTGCTGTCCTACAGAAAAGTGGATAGCACTTGCAGCTGACAGACGGGTACCAAGGACCCTGGGCTATCCTTCTGCTGGCGTGTTTACTATGATTTTTTGTTCATCTCCCAGCACTGTGGCCTCAAGACGGGTGTCTCCTGTTGAGAGCAGGGTGATGCAGTGGGTTTCCAGGGGAGGTCAGGGAAGAGCTTGGCTCCCTCAAAGTCTTGTTATAGGCTCCCAGAACTGGTTATCAGAAACCTGACATTGTGCCTTAATATCCCTTACAGTCACCCTTCCTCCATGACTGTATTCAAGTTTTGGCAAACATGTCCACATGGAAGCAAAGTGGGTGAATGGCCAGCACAGCACAAATGCTTTGCAAATCTGTGGCAGTAAACAAGAGGGAGAAGTCCTTAACACTTCCTGTCATGAAGTCCACTTGTGGCACCAGGTCCTGTTTTCAGTGCTGAAATAGGACAGTCCCTGGTCTGTCCTTCTCAATAGACTGTACCTTTCTTTTCAATACCTTTCAAGAATCTTAATACCTGAAACTCCCCTCTTGCCTCACACCTACCAAGTCTTCTGTTTACCTATGACACTCTGAGTCACGGGCTGGGAGGGCAGTGACTCAGCCTGTCCCGTCTTCGGGACTGGCCGGGCGGTGTTCATCCCTCTTTGGTGCCTCACTGTCTGGAGCCCTCCTCAGACTCCGGGTTCATTTGAAATCCCACAGCACTTGATAGTATGAGGTAACAACTGCACTGTCATTCACTCATTCACAGGAACTGATCAGAGCAATGACTCTCGGCCCTACTGGCTGGAGCCATTACAGGTTTCTTATAGATCAGGAGCTCTCCAATCTTATGTAAAAGCAATAAGATCAACTCCCTTCCTGGGGCTCAAGTGTTGATGACTTAAAGATAAAACACAATACATCGTTACTATCATGTGGGGACCCCCACGCGTTCAATGAAGGCAGCGTGACACGTGATTTAGTCTCACAGTCTGTTAAGATGGGTCGCCTGGGCTCCAGCAGCTTTTTGGGGGAGCAGAAAAGACAGGGGGACCCTTCTCTTACTGCAGCAGCAGTGATCGCCTGGCTTGTCAGCCAGCAGGGTGGCTCTCGCTGGGCACGTTCGCAGGGTGAAACAAGGCTGAGCTCTGCCTTGGCAAAGGCCTCAGAACTGCCATCACCTCTAGTACAGCCCGGGTTCAAATGGAGCTCTGCTTCGTCTTTGCACACATTTCATGCTCACGCCAACTGCCATTTAACTTGAAACCTGGCACTTAAAAATATAAAAGATCTGCATTTTTTTCACAGTACAAACCAAGGCTCATATTGCAAAAACGCTGCGGCCCATTGTCTGTTTGAAAATCTGAAAATGACAAACCAGCAGTGACTGGCTGGCTACTGTGTTTCTTACAGGCGTCTTGCTCCAACCTAATCAGAGGTCCCTGTGTTTAATTTCTAAAATCTGTTCTGTACCCTCTACCAATTTAGTAGCTGGTACTCTTCCCTCTTCTCAGACTGCTTGGCCATTAAAGATGTCTGGTTGGAAAGTAGAGGTGTTTACCCCAGTGTCCTGCCTAAATTCCACTCTGGTCTTAAACAGCCAACCTCAAGTTCCTCTTTAATTCAATCTTAATTCTTCTCTCCTCATTGACCATGCAGTGGGACTGCTGTGTGTCAGCTGGTTAAGTGAATGGGTCCCCTCCTTCACAGAAGCCTTCTGTGGTCCTATGGGATTAAATTGTTGTATGCATTCATTATTGTAAGCAGAAGCTGTAGCAGTCGTGGTATTAATAGGCGTGGGCAGGAAGTTTGAATTTATTTTGAAGCTCACAAACGTAAATGTTTCATAGGTAACTTCCTCCACTTCCTTCACTGTCCTGGGAACTACTTCAGGTGCTGGAATGATGCTGGAATTTCAGGATTAAGGAAGAAAAAGGATACTCTGCAATTAGAGAGGAGGAATAAAGCGACTCTTTTACTTTTCTTGCCAAGGCTTCCCAGCTCACACAATGGGGAAACTACTGCAGCTCCACCTCTCCTGCCTCTCTCCAGACAGTTTCTATAGAACATGCATCTGATCCCAGTGAGGTCATCAGCCAAACACTTCCATAACACGACAGGGAACACTGCGCGCGCTGTTTGATCGGCATCACCAAAGTCTTTTTCCGACCCCTCAACATTCCTTCCATTCCGGCGGACCTAGGCTGCCTGTCTGGGGGAGTTATGTAAGGGGAGGGGGCCGGCGGGGGTGCCTGCTAGCCCAGCAGCCCCCTGCCCAGCTCTTCACAAGCAGGAACTGCCCTCAGCGCTCCTGGTCCAGGCCGTAAGCCGCGCCACTGCAACCACATTTGTTTTTAAAAAAGCATGTCCATGTCATTCTGTCTGTGTGTGAACACAGACGTGGTACAGCACAGCATAACACTTCATAAACCACACAGTGCCTTTAGAGATCTGGTTTCGATGCGCCTTAGAAAGTCAACAAACAAATGCCTATTTGAAAGCAAAATTTGTTCAAGAAATTGATCAGGACTTTAGGAAATAACATCAGTGTGTGAGTGGGGGACTGGTACCTGAGAGAGCAATTTCAGTTCGGTCAGACTACTAGGGATTTTATTATTGATTATCTGAAATTGCTCATCGCCCGGCCCATGCTTTTCGACAGGGTGACGGGGCAGCAGGGGCCGTGGGAGTGATCTGAGTGAAGTAACAATGTCCC